AGGGAAGAAAAAAGAGATGAAGAAGTAGGAAGATGCAGGTTCTTCGGTCGTTTCAGCAGAATAATGCCTGTGTTTGCTGCCAGATCAACATGTCATGTCGGAGGACGTCTTGTCACGTCAAATCACTTCTGTCTCCCTTCCCATCCGTCTCCACTGTCCTGCTGCATGCGCCGCTTCACACACCAAACTGCACTCAAAGCTGGATCTGTACATTCAGGCAGACCCTTCATTCTAAAGGCAACACCAGGACTTCAAACCCGGGAGCTGTGTCAGTCACGTTTTCAATTAAACAAACTTGGAAATAAAAAGACAGACATGACATGCAGGACTTCACCTTTACTGTGTGCATCCACTGCTGATAAGACCTTGAATTACCTGAAGGGAAACAGGAATTATGAATGAATCTTTTTGCACTGAACAGCACAATATGTACATTGCAAAGCAAAGGTAACTGTCACACTGACACATTCAATATGACTGAAGAAAATAATTTGGAATATTAGTAAAACCGAGCTCTAAACTACATCCTCAGCTCGTTTTAGTGAATTTAGAGATTTTCTTTTGTTCTCTCCTGCCAAAAGTGTTAAGTTTTGCATCAAACCTCTTCCTACAAGTGACACTCTAGATGCATACAGAATATAAAAAATGTACAAATGTATCCTGAAAGGCTGAAAGTTACAATAATTTTAGAACAGATAAAAGCATATGCATTGTATTCAGCTTAAAAAAAGGTGAAATCTGTTAATGGCTTAAAATGTTGGGTGTATGTTGTCACAGGTTTGCTCATGAGAAAGTTCATCACAGCCATTAAATGTGATTGTGTATATGAGTAGCTGAGGACAGCAACATCAGAAAATAAACAAATGTATACAACGACACCACAGCATACCCGAGTATGATTTTAAAAAATCTTTTTAATCAATGTATAATTTTTTGTTTTACAGACTTTAAATGTGAAAAGTAAAAATTGAGGCAGAACTACATTTTATTTGGCCATAAAAAGGGTCTTAACACCATTTTTAAAAGTTTTTCCTAGTTTTGTTCACTGCTTTTACATATTACTGTGGTACAATATCTGCTTATAGCATGAAATACAGCCATAAATATACTGTGTTTAAGGTCTAGCGCTACTCACTTCCACAGAAGCCCCCTTCTGTGACCTCCTCTTCAAACAGGTCGGTGAAGCCGCGGCCTGCGTTCAATTTGGCCAGCCGTCCATCGATGAACTACAACCATAAATTACAACATGCTTATTAAAGAACAGAGGACAAGGGGATGTGGACACAGTGAAACACATAGACTCCAACACTCCAGCCACAGTGGGGTGTTTTTAATCCTACCTGACAGAAACTACATCCCAACATTAGATTGGTTGCGAGTAATGGGGATCTGGTAATGTGGAGCAGGTGAGGGATCGCTGCAGCCAACTACATGCTGCAAAATGTCTGAGACATGAGGAAGTTTCATTTCCTCCCACTGTGACATGGAGCACATAAAACTCTGTGTCATAAATATGGACTTAACAGCCAAGACAGCTACACATGTCTGTATATTACACAGGCAGTGGTGGAAGAAGTACCCAGACTGTTTAACTAAGTAAAAGTAACAATACCACAGTTAAAAAAAGTAATAGTCCTGCATCCAAAATGTTACTTAAATAAAAGCTCAGAAGCATTAGCATCAAAGTTTACATTTTAATTAGGGTTAGGGATTAGCATTAATGTATATCGTTATTATAATTACTGATGCATTATCATGTACATGTGCTGGTATTGGTGGAGCTAATTTTAACTACCTTATATGCTTATAATTTCAAGTGCTGGGTATTTTAAAATTTTCCACTAGGGATCAATAAAGTCAGATAATTATATTGTACTTTGTATAGTTTATCTGATTCAGAAAAGTAGCTAGTAAGTAAAATTGTCAAATGTATGTGGTGGAGTCAAAGGTTTATTACTTTCCTTTAAAATATAGTGAAGTCAAAGTATGAGGTAACAAAAGTATGACTTACCAGAAAATTAAAATAATAAAGTACAAATACCTCAAAGTTGCACTCAAGTACTTTTCACCATAGTACACAGTACATGCTTACTTGCAGAGACAAATATATACCTCAACATTTGTAACAGCATTCTTTTAACATTAGAGTATGAAAAATATTTTACAGGTCATGACCAAATAAAAACTACAGGACATACTTTCAATAATACACACCCATCAGAGGGCTGTTGTGTCATTTTTAGAGCAATAATTATATGTATTTTTTCTAAATCTTGACCATAAAAACAAGATTTGAATTCCACCAAAACAATTACGCAGATCCCTCAGTGACGCGTGGTGTCAAACCGCACTGACCCACAAGTTGCTGTTAGTGCCCTGTCCCATATTAGCAAATGTCTGTGTGCAAACAACATTAGCCACTGACATCCTCAGACCAATCTCGGCAAGTTTCTGGTGTGAAAGCACGCGCGGCTGCAACACAGTATTTTTGTTTTATTTTCAAGATATATGGCCAAGGTCTGTCGAAGTTCTGAAAAACTAACTTTCTACTAGTTTCTATGTATTTTATTCTAACACTTTGTTTTCAACCACAAACTTCAGTCTGCCATATTAATCAATTCAGGGTTTATTTGTGTAAAGGTGGGAGGGAAAAGCAGCTAACAATCAGTGCATTTGGATTTAAAGCTGGAATGGCATTAATTAACAATCAACACCTCCCACCTTTCAAACACTCCTTTGTTTTTTAAGAAAAACAACAAATAGTACACAATTCTTTTGTATACAAATCACTAACAAGTTATTGTGAGATATTTTTTTTAACTGTAGTAATCCTACTCTATAACTCTGCATATGTGTCCAAAGTGTAACAACGGTGGAAGTTGATTTAGGCGCACGTCCTCAGGGACAGCATGCTAACTAGCGACCGACACGGCCGCTCGCTCCTCTGGTCAGAAGAGCTGGAAACTCATCATTAGATCATTTTAATGAGAGGTGAGACTGTAAGGTCCAACCGCCGCTGCGCTACTTGGCTGGCCCAATTAGTGCAGATAATCAACCCAAATCATCACCTAGCCAAAGCCTCCACTTATCCCCCCTCCTCCCGTCTCGCTCCACACATCCCGGCCAGATTACCTGCCTTGCTGTGGGGGCTTAATTAGACATTACTCAACAATGGCAGACTGTGATCACCACACACACTCACACATGCAAACCAGCACTCACTCTTGCATGTGCACAAACACTTGCACACAACACATGGGCTCATTTTCTTTGTTTTGAGACTGATTTATACACCCCCCCAAACAAACAAACAAACAAACAAACTCTCTTAAAAGAAACACAAAGAAATTTCAGGGTAGGCCCACATCAGGACCAGCTTCATTCAAACAAGCAGTACAGCAGGAGCTCCAATAAATTATTAAAAAGAATTCAGGTTGTTAATATTTGTGAAACCAGTAATACAAATTACAAATATTCTCCATTATGTTCAAATATTTTTAATTGGTTTTTAAAAAAATGTTACTAAAAGAATCTCAAGCCAAACTACATGTCAATAAAATCAAGTCAAAGTGTGCAGAACAGATTCAGACACACAAAGTTACACACAATTCTGCTCCATCTCTTCATGTCTACATGTGATCTTGTTGCTGGTGTAGTACTTGAGTCCAGGACTCGAGTCCAACTCGAATCTTGATTTTCAGGACTTGTGACTCGACTTGGACTTAAGCACTCATGACTCAGACTTAGGCTTACCAAAAGTAAATTTAATTTATTAAATATGATCCCATAAACTGTAGCTACTGATCACTTCACTCATTTACAGCTCACCACCATCTTTGCTAGTGCATGGTCATGTAGTCAGTTGGTAATTTGGTCATAAACAACTGAATCTCTTGCCTTGTCTGATGATTCTGGAGACATGAATCACGTCGTGTCTCCAGTTAGACATTTTCGCTGGTGTATTCATTGTCAATAGCCATTGTTTTCAACATCTGATATTTGTATTCTTCCGGTTTTGTGCCGGTCACACGTAGAATGTCATCAACATGCCCACTAGTGTGAATACTCTGGATTATATGCTGCTGTATTGTCATATGGGCTCACTCCAGCTCACTCAGACGTGGACTTTGTTCTAGGGATCTGGCAGAGTCAAGTCTGCTTAAAGTCCAGGTCAGCTGACTGAGACATCTGCGTTCTCACATACAGCTCCCCCGGGTAATGTCTAGAGAATTTCAGGGTTCCCCTGCATGTCTGAAAAGGGCTTCTTATGGGTGTTTGATATGCTGAGATTCTCTAAACTGTCACCAGTAAATATAATATATTATCATTTCCACATAAACTACTGAGACTAATTACTTCGATAAAAACGGCCTCTTTTTTTGAGAGAGGAAAGTGCAGCTTTCTATATTGCATGCTGTGCAATAAGAGCTTTGCTGGGACAAGTACAGTGTTTGTCTTCATCTGTTCCTCTTATTGCTGTAACTGTAATGATGCTGTATGTTGGAGTGGATGAACCCACCACATACTGTAAGATTTTTAATCAAACTATTTGATTTTATAAGGCTGCACTTTCCGCGCTTTATGAGAACGGCTTAGTAATCACATTCATCTACAGTACACCGAGGACGGTGGACGATTATTGACCGATGAGACTCATATTGTCAACACAAGTTCCTGGCAATAAATTATCAGGGTACAAAGTCAATAAAACAGTGGAAGGCTTGGTGTGGAGGGCTTAGTTTTGTCAGTAAGAGGAAGAGAGTTCACTGAATCAGTCTCTGCTAGCACAATACACACAGATGGCAGCGTGCGCTTGTGTGTATGTAAGTGCGTAGGAGCTGAGGATGGTTGATAGGAAGAAGGTTAATGTCGACAGGCTTTCCCCCGCATTCTTGTGGAAGATTTCTCCCACTTGTTCTGTTCTGAACAGACATGGGCTGGTGGACTGAGCAGAGGGGAAACAGTCTGGGAACTGAAGTGTGTTCAAAGGTGAAACTGTGACATTTTAACATGTGCGTATGTGTATATTTTATTTTAGGTTTTGCTTAGTGTCTATGTTTCATAGTGGCACAAGATAAGATGACTTTGGTTTCTGCTTTTGGTTGGGTACTGTAGCACATGTATGTCAAATGCACTCATCTGGTTAGATCTGTTTGGATTAGAACATTTGAATATTTAGCATAAGGTCAATTTAAAACCTATTTACATTTTAGATATTTGGCAGGTGTGCGTATCCAAAACAACTTACAGCAAGACATTTGTTACAATGGTGAAGGTCAACGAGGGCAGTACAAAGTTATTAATGAGCTTGGGTGTCATCTCACAGCACAATGGTCTTTCTGTCCACCACTCAGCTCCCAAAGTATTACGTAACATTTGCTGAATTTTCATCAACGAGTCCACGTTGTTTGCTATAAAACAGGAATTATTTGTGGCTGAGGCAGAAAGGCCGGCTTTACAGCAAAAAAAAAAAAAAAAAAAAACACGAAATGACTAAATAAAGTACCTATCGAAAATAATTTCTTGATGAGATGTAACGCCTTAAACTCGTGTTAACACCTCGACATTATGCACTTCACCATGCGTGTGATGTGTGCTGTGATCTACCAATCCTGATAATATAGCTTCAGGTTTGACCTAGTGTTGTTGCCATATAGGTTACATTCAGAACATCTCACACCTTGGCCACTGAGTAAATATCATTAAATATATTCCATCTGATATACTTCTTCACTCCAGTCCTAATGACCGGTTGCTTGACATCCGAGCAACCCAAACTGTTTTTTTTTTGTTTTTTTTTTACACTACCCAAGTTCAAAACGGCAGCTTTGATGGCCTGAAGTCCCCCCCGCCATCTACAATCTCACTTGGAAAGTAAGCACAGATTGTTCTCTTTAGATGAACATTAAGAAAAAACTAATCAAACAAGCAAAGAAAACAGTAACTAGTTTAAAATGTATGCTGTTAGGAAAAATTAAGATTCTATTGAAAGCAATAGTCTTTTGTGACTATTATTCGTTTTTTAAATACATGACAATACTTACGTTTATTACTCACTGCATGTGGCCACATGCTATTTATGTTTTGTAATTTGGGGGATAAGATAGCAGTGGCAGTCAATGAAGACAATCTACTGAATTATAGATGCATAATAGGATAAAAGGTTGGTATAAAAACAAATAAAATAAAGAACAGAAGTACTGGAAAAACAAAAACAAAAACCTGCTGTCTCAGAGCGAGTACAGATGTATATAAAAATGGATGTGTGCTTGTGTGTAGCCATTCAAGTTGAGTATTATTTGCATGTTTATGAGTGAACATGGGTCATGGCCAGAGCAGAGCTTGGGAGGACTGCTGGTCTCTCTCACTTTAGTCGAAAGAGGAGTGCAAGAGATAAGTTCATCCCATCCCCCGTGCTGGAGAGGAGAAGGAGGAGGAGGAGATAAGGGCCTGTTTCCCAGTGCTACCGCTGAGGAAGGAGCCAGTCGGGAGGATGCTTTGAACTCCTGCTCGCTATCTGCTCTGCCTGGGAAAATTATAGACTGGGCAGAGTGTCCAGAGAAACAAAAGGCTGACTGAGGGCCGATGTGCTGGAACTCTCGAGGGTAAATCATACTACTATCACGGGTCAGAGAGCACAAAGAAAAATTCAAGGGGTGAGAGGAAATTTTCTTTGGAGCCAGAGGTGTCTCTCCACTCCTCCCTGGCTCGGCTAAGTTCAGTACCGTTGAAGGGATTTGGAGGATAAACATATTAAGTATACATGGGTGATTTTTAAGGGAAACTCATGTAACCGCACATGAATAAATGATACCTGCTGACATACATATTCTCTACATAAAAATACACATATGACCACAGTGGAGTTCTACCGGTGGTCCTGGTGGAGGATGTTCAGTTTTCTGAAGACCAAGTTAAAGCTGTGACCACATTTCTTAATTCTTAAGGACAAAATACACCTTGACATGGCTTTGTACAGTAAAAATACTGGCCTGACTAATTAAGGTTTCGTTTGAGAACACGGAGATACAGGACATACCAGCTATAATACGGAGGATACTAGCTATAATCCCAGACCTATTTCTCCTCACTCTGAACAAGTGAACTGTCAAGAAACTAAATGCTAACTTTACCCCGTTGACAGACTGTTGAGCACAAGTGGAGCTGAGAGACATTTTCTATATATAAAAATGAAGACTTTCACCCCTCTAAATAAAAACCTGCTAAAAAAAATAAATAAATAAACAGCTTGAAAATAAACTGACATTCACGGGAGAGGACAGTGTAACTTACCTACAGTAAGCACTCCTATTTGTGCTTGCCTCTAGCTTACAGTATAGAGCTGTGCATCTGTCAGTGTACCATGTGAGTGGCAACAGATGTTTATAGTTTTTAATTATGATGAGTAAATGAGTGAAGGTCTTGTTTTTTTACACATAAAGTCAAATACATGCCCAGAATTCCCACATTTCAGATCAACTGTACTGGTTACAGTATGTCCAAATGAGTAGTTAATGCTGAAGCACACACACACACACAAAATGATACACACAAACAAACAGCACTTTGTACCTGTTTGAAGAGCTGGAGGTTGACGGCCATAGAAAGGAAGTTCCTCATGGTGCTCGAGCGATGGTTCACAAAGCTCTTCTCACAGAATGTAATTGGTTCCCCCTGAGGAGTCCACAGAGACATTACCGGCAAATAATTATTAACATTTTAATCTGGCTCACTTTTCTTTGTATCAATCTGTTTTTCACCATGTTTACTTAGTTTAGAAATGAGCCACAGGAAGGGCGGCAGATGCATGCGGTGCCTTGAAAGGCAGGGGGTCTAAACTAAACAATATGTTTTACATTATGAGTCACAGCACTAAGACACTCACATCCTCTCTATTTTTATTATGCACTGTAAAAAAAATATAGTCTCTAACAAAGAACTATATCAACTGATTTCTTCAATAGTGAGCTAAATGGGCTTGAAAACAGAAAATGAGTCCAAAAGAGAGAAAGGAAGGAAGGAGCAGGAGTAGGAGGAAGAGTGTTAGTTAAAGAAAAAAGAAAAAACTGAAAACAGTTCCCATGGCGGAGCACACACGATCTCCCCCAAACCAGACAACGGTGTCCCAGTAAACTCTCTAGTACTCAACACTAACACATTATTACCATTTCTTACATCATGTCTGTTGGCCTGTGAGCTATAGACACGGAGGATGACAACAGAACCACTGCAGGTCAATCACACGCAGCCCGTAGTCTATTCCAATTCATGTTTTCTCATAATTAACAGTAGTCTCACATATTTCAGCGAAGGTTTAAATTCTTGTGGTGTAAAACAATGTGCTTTGTCTCTTCCAGGCTACGGGCACAGTGTGGCACACAAAAACAACTTAACAACACTTGAGACCAACCCCGTTTTCAGGAATTGGAGGATGATACCAGTGGCCAAGATTACATCACAGGAATACTGCTCCACTTACTATACATCACTGAAAGGTTTTTTTTAAGGGGTATTCACTTGTAAAAGTGAGAAAATACACCAATCGGCTTTGCAGCTACAGCCTTGTATCATACTGCATCTAACAAAAAGGAACAGAATACCGAGACAAACAACTGCTACTAAAAACTTTCCAAGTGAACTTTAAGATCTTGGTCTGTCACATTAGTTACCAGCAAAATACTCTCAGCACCGAAAGGCAGCTGCTGCTAGTATCTTCCAACTCTAACTCCAAAAATAAAATAAAATAAAGAAACATCATCTATCTATTCATGTGCTTTAACGGGGTCACAGAGGTCACCCAGCACAAGGAAGGCTACACAAAATAACTCTGTCTTCAGCTGTTTTAACCAGTAAAGTTGACTGAAAACATTTATCTAGACTAGAGCAACAGGATGGGGATAGTACTGTAACTGCGTTAGAATGAAAGGCCATGTGCGCTCACAGCCAGTGGTGGAAGACTGTTTAAGTAAAAGTAGCAGTACCACCTGTAAAGGTTATAAGGTTTGCATTCAAAATGTTACTTAAGGAAAAGTACAAAAGTATTAGCAGAAAAGTAAAAGTACTCATTAGGCCTAATGGTATAGTTTACATTGATGTACATCATATTATTTGATCACAATTACATCACATTCAATGTTGTAGATGATAAAGGTATAGCTCATTTTAACTAGCTTATATTCTTTATCTGGGTAGCGTGTGAATTTTACACCAAGGATCAATAAATCTTGTGATGTTACTGTATTTTGTTTTATTAACCTCTTTCTGAAAAGAAACTAATAACAAAAGTTATCAAATAAATGTAGTGAGTACAAAGTAAAATCTGTTTTCTGAAATGTAGCGAAGTGAAGTAGCAGAAAAAGAAAATACTCATAATACAGATACCTCAGTAAATGCACTTAAGTTACTTTCCACCTCTGCTCACACCTGTTACTTGTGATGTTTAACACAACTGAACCCATAATTACTTGTAAGGTTTTGTGCCTTGCTTAAGGATATATTTACCAGTAAATGCAGAATAATGAATGAGCACTAACTGTTAATTTCCTCCAAGGCTGCTGTCATCTCTACATAACACATACATTCAGCACTAGAAATATGACTTTTAATGAATCCAGTATTGATTTTATTGCATAATGCATGTCATAAATTGGATGTGGCACATACTTTAAGTGTGAAACTCATCTTATATAAATACTGTATGTTGGACCACTGCACTGAGTGGCAGTTCTCTGAGGATCTATGTTATGATCTAGGAGGAACTTAAGACGAACTTAAGTAGCACTGCATGTGGAAATCTATGACTATTTTAGCTGTGCAGGCACAGTGACAAGTGCACCGTGGTAAGTCTTGGGTGCTAGGTGTGTAGGCGTCTCCGAGCACACCTGCTATTTTGACTTATGTAGGTGCAGCAGCAGTGCTATAGTGCAAATCACCCGGGTGAAGGTGAATACAGATCATAGGTTGTAGTAATTCATAAATGTGCTCTCAGCTATTCAGATTACCGGTGTGCACTGCTCTAAAACAGTTGTGCCAATCACAGTGACGCAACACTAGCTCAACAAATGGAAAGGTGCTTCATCAGGAAATCATATTGTTGTCTGGATGGTTCAGAGCAGCCACTTCAACCTTAATTTGGCTGTATCTCACATCATCAGAGGCTACGTCTTATATTACACCGTGCCACAGCAGTGTTTGCACTGTTGAAAAATATAACACAAATCGCCACTTCTTTGAAAAGCAGGCTGGAAAGAAGGCGATGTCATCTGACGTCTCCAGTATAAAAAGCCATAACTGACCCATCTCGTGTGTGTGGAATGGTAGTGGGTTTTTGTGTAGCAGCCTGGTGTCATTTGTACATGATTTAGTGTAGGTAAACATGGAGGATAGTCATGTGTCATGGCATTAATCACTATGAGTGTCCCGCTGCTGGGATTTAAAGAACTTCCACTATATGTATGTACAACAGTGGACACTAGCTGGACAGTGATTAATTAAATGGGTTCTTTACATTTTAAGCATTATTTCATAGTAAGTATTCTGTTTGCTCTTATAGATGAAATCACCAGCATGGAAGTCTAATACACATACAGTGGTGTGAAAAAGTGTTTGCCCCCTTACTGATTTCTTATCTTTTTGCATGTTTGTCACACTGTAATGTTTCAGATCGTCAAACAAATTTATATATTAGTCAAAGATAACACAAGTAAACACATCATGCAGTTTTTAAATGAAGGTTTTTATTATTAAGGGAAAACAAAATCCAAAACTATAGAGCCCTGTGTGAACAAGTGTTTGCCCCCCTGTCAAAACACTGGTTTATCGCACCTGAGTTCAATTTCTCTTGCCACACCTGTTCGCAATCAAGAAATCACTTAAATAGGACCTGCCTGACAAAGTGAAGTAGACCAAAAGATCCTCAAAAGCTAGACATCATGCCGAGATCCAAAGAAATTCAAAAACAAATGAGAAAGAGAATAATGGAGCTCTATCAGTCCGGAAAAGGTTATAAAGCCATTTCTAAAGCTTGGGGACTGCAGCGAACCACAGTGAGAGCCATTATCCACAAATGGCGAAAACATGGAACAGTGGAGAACCTTCCCAGGAGTGGCCGGCCGACCAAAATTACCCCAAGAGCGCAGCGACAACTCATCCAAGAGGTCACAAAAGACCCCACAACAACATCCAAAGAACTGCAGGCCTCACTTGCCTCAGTTAAGGTGAGTGTTCATGACTCCACCATAAGAAAGAGACTGGGCAAAAATGGTTTGCATGGCAGAGTTCCAAGACGAAAACCACTGCTGAGCAAAAAGAACATAAAGGCTCGTCTCAGTTTTGCCAGAAAACATCTTGATGATCCCCAAGACTTTTGGGATAATACTCTGTGGACAGACGAGACAAAAGTTGAACTTTTTGGAAGGTGTGTGTCCCATTATGTGTGGCGTAAAAGTAACACCGCATTTCAGAAAAAGAACATCATACCAACAGTAAAATATGGTGGTGGTAGTGTGATGGTCTGGGGCTGTTTTGCTGCTTCAGGCCCTGGAAGACATGCTGTGATAAGTGGAACCATGAATTCTGCTGTGTACCAAAATATCCTGAAGGAGAATGTCCGGCCATCTGTTTGTGACCTCAAGCTGAAGCGAACTTGGGTTCTGCAGCAGGACAATGATCCAAAGCACACCAGCAAGTCCACTTCTGAATGGCTGAAGAAAAACAAAATGAAGACTTTGGAGTGGCCTAGTCAAAGTCCTGACCTGAATCCAATTGAGATGCTGTGGCATGACCTTAAAAAGGCAGTTCATGCCCGAAAACCTTCCAATGTGGCTGACTTACAACAATTCTGCAAAGATGAGTGGGCCAAAATTCCTCCACAGCGCTGTGGAAGACTCATGGCAAGTTATCGAAAACGCTTGATTGCAGTTGTTGCTGCTAAGGGTGGCCCAACCAGTTATTAGGTTTAGGGGGCAAACACTTGTTCACACAGGGCTATATAGTTTTGGATTTTGTTTTCCCTTAATAATAAAAACCTTCATTTAAAAACTGCATGATGTGTTTACTTGTGTTATCTTTGACTCATATATAAATTTGTTTGACGATCTGAAACATTACAGTGTGACAAACATGCAAAAAGATAAGAAATCAGTAAGGGGGCAAACACTTTTTCACACCACTGTAATACCAACCACCTGCCTTGCATTGCATTGCATTTGTTGAACCTCCCACCTGTTACTGCCTGTTCTCCAACCTTTGCACTGCACACCGTGCGCTTTACACCAAAATACTGCACAGATGCACAAAGCAAACTTCAAGGTCAGGAAATTACCAAACGGACGGAGTGCTGATTGCACTGACTGTTGTGCTGCCATGAAAATAGGGCCCCAAGACTTTGATACAGATCCCATCTAGAAGGAACATGGTATGAGTGTGAGTGAAGTGAGAAACTAGTACATGTTGTGCTCAAGCACAAACACACCGTGTCTCAGGGTTTGTGTCAGAAGGGAGGCAGATTGTTCATATACTGTCTTTATACAGAAAATACAGAAAAAAGGAGATCATCAATAATGTAGCTTCTTGACTCCAGGAGTCTATAAAATCCAATTAATCTCAAAGCCAAAGGAACAAAGACTTTGCTATTTGACAAACAGGACATGCTGTAGTTTGCTCTGCGCTGACTCGGACTTGATAAGCAGAAAAGACATAGAAAAGAAATGTTAGGGGGCTTAGTAAAGGAGAATAAAACACCAAAGGTGGCTAAAAGGGATCTTCAAAGGGAATGTCCTGACTCCTCAGCTCCTCTGACATTTCACTGCCTCAGACAGGCCCACCTCAGCTTTGCGCTCTGACTGAAAACACTCCTTTTACCTGCCCCAGTCTAAACAGATGCCAATCGAATTTGAATTCAGTTCAAAACGTTGCTGAAATGTGGTAGTTAAAATTTTAAAAACTGTTTGCTTGCTGCT